GCTGTGCACATGCGAACTAAAATGAGAAGACGTCTGAAGAACAGATAGAAGACAAAGAGCAAGAGACAGAAGACAAAGAGCAAGAGACAGAAGACAAAGAGCAAGAGACAGAAGACAAAGACAAAGAGACAGAAGACAAAGACAAAGACAAAGAGACAGAAGACAAAGACAAAAAGACAGAAGACAAAGAGAAAGAGAAAGAGACAGAAGACAAGTAGAAAGAGACAGAAGACAAAGAGAAAGAGAAAAGAAGACAAAGAGAAAGAGACAGAAGACAAAGAGAAAGAGACAGAAGACAAAGAGAAAGAGACAAAAGACAAAGAGAAAGGGAGAGGAGAGGCAGACTGACAGCTATATAGGCGCAGAGAATTTCGAAGGGAGGAGGATAAAATTTGGCCATGCACGTCGACGTTACGACCGCCCATTGCAATTCGCCTTTCTTGCTTTAGTATCTTAAAATAAATTAAAAAAGAGTATTCTTAAAAGAGAAGAGTCGTGTTTCATCGTAACCACCTTGTTCGCCCGAATAGAACGCCCGGTCATTATAGTTCGTATTTGGTCCACCTCTCCGTCCAGATACAGGGACACTGACCGGGCGTTCTATTCCGGTGAAGACGGCCGTGCATTACCGGTGTAGAAAAGAAGCAGAGCCCTCAGAGACCAAGGGCTACTGCCTGCTCCAGCGTTATGTCCAGCTTCGGACCCAACCCCTTTCATCTTAGCGCACCTGCCTCTTTTTTTTTTCTTTTTTTTTTTCTTTTTTTTGGGGGGGGGGCGAAACAGCAAGGAATCCCTTATAATGAAAAAACATGAGCCAAAAAAAAAAAAAAAAAACCATGAGGCCGGGAATTCCTCACAAACGACCCGGAAATGAAATCGTCACTGACTGGGACCTTTGCCCAGGGTTCGTACGTGGTTTTTTTTTTAAGACTTGGCAGAGCCAAGAACAAACAACAACGCAAAACAAAAGGCCACGCATGGTTTTTCAACCAACGCCTGGGCAAAACCAAAAGGAAGGCGGAAAACAAGTAAGCCAGAAACAAACCATAACCGAAGCATTCATTTATTTCTTTTTTTGGGGAATTCCGAAAATTCCTTAGCGCACGTGCTTTTCTTAGCCTGAGCCATGTTATTAATTTTCTTCTTCTAATGAAATCATCAAAACACGTAATTTATCTATACAATAAAAATTAATCGCCACGCTGGACTAGAAAGTATCCATGGTTTTCCATTCTTGCCAACTCTTTTTTAAAGGGTTCGTTTTCTCCAAAGGACGACTCTCCGCGGCCTCGTCGTTATCACCGCGAACCTACGGCAAGCTAATCACACCTTTATTCATATGTGTCTCCATGTGTCTCCATACTTACTAATAATAGCCAACTCGTAAATTGAACGCCAGGTTCGCGAACTTAAAAGATACGGCACTGAGAGACAATGATAGAGCCAGCTCAAGTTCAGAATCAATGCTCTCTCTCTCTCTCTCTCTCTCTCTCTCTCTCTCTCTCTCTCTCTCTCTCTCTCTCTCTGTGTGTGTGCGTGTGTGTGCCCCTCCCTCTTGTCACACGCACACGAGCACACACGCACAAAAGAACGCACGCAACGACAACGTGTACTACCCGCGTGCTAATTCACAGCTTTCCCGAAGAAGCTGGAGAAACGCGGATAGCAGAGGGGGGAGAGTAGAAAGAGAGAGAGGGGGGAGAACACAGAGAGAGAAAGAGAGGACAGAGAGATGGATGTTTTTTCGTGATTCGGTTGTTAGCTGCCACCGTAGCCCCTAATCTTGTTGATTTGGCCGATGATATCGACCAGAGAGTGCTGGCGAGACTGACTGGGTCCAGGCGGTAAAAAGCACAGCGTAAGTGGAGCTTACTACACCCTAGTTCCGTTGTCCCATCTTCCTCCTCCATACAAAGAGCGAGGGGGGGGGGGGGGGGGGGGGTGAAGAAGAAACAGAAAAGCGTCCCATCCTCCTCCCATGTTTCTTGGCAAGAACATAAGTCGGTCATTCACTGTGAAGAATTTCTTAATTGCGGTTACTTAAAGCGATCCCCCGGATCACCCCCCCCACCCCCCCCAAATCTCCTTTCCTATCCTTGGTTGAACCGGCCTCGCAGCATCGCCAAGACGCCATCACCTGGTTAAGCAATTATCCTAATTTTTTATCCTTCTAATATTTTATCCTACTAATCTTTTATCCTAACCTCTTATCCTAATCGATTATCTTGATCTAATGATCCTAATCTATTATTATCCTAATAAACTATATACTAAAAAAAAAACCGTTTCCCCTTGCCTTGCACCCAGCGCCTGGTCAAGGAATTATCCTATTGGTAGTCTATTATCCTGATCTTAATTTAATCCTATATAATCGATTATCCAGTAATCAAGTACACTATCAAAAAAAGCTATTCCCCTTGCCGTGCAGGCCTGCACCGGACCGACCACGGGTGCCAAAAAAAACAGAAAAAAGAAGTGGGAAAAGGTCAGCGAAGCAGGCGGCGATGGCGACCGTCGCCATCGGACTCTCCACCTCCCAAAAAGGATGTGAAGGGTCGTCAACACCGCCGCACACTCCCCGCGCACCCTCGCACAGTCAGCCAACATTGGCCGGTAGTGTAAGGTGACAGAGGTGGAAAGGCCGTCGACATCGCCGGACAGTCGTGAACACCGCCGCACACTCCCTACGCACCCGTCGCACAGTCAGCCAAAACCCCGGGACATCCCGCGTTCCCGAAGTCGCCGCCGTTATCCGAAAACAGCAATGACTACGGTGCGGGGGGTCTCTAGCAGTTGCCTTTAACCGTTACGTGTTTTGCGGGACGGGTAGGGAGAGAGACGGAGAGAGAGAGAGAGAGAGAGACAGAGAGAGAGAGAGAGAGATGCAGAGGGAAATCCCGAGAAGGAAACTAAAAGGGAAAAATCGTCGCCGGGGGAAGAGGGAAAGAGAATCAGTACTAGGCTACCGTCATTCATATTCAGTCGACTACCATCACTCCAACATGATGGGGGGAACAATAGGCATGAGGATTATCTGCGCTTCTCAAAAAGGAGATGGCTTGGCAATCACGCTGAAGATGGCAGAAATAATGCATCTGCCCACATTTCCCGACCAAATGGATGGTAAAAGCTCATTCGGTTTGGCTCAAGATCGCATCAGCAACAGCACCAAAATCTCTTTCGCCCGCATGGGACAGGAAATGCGGCCAGATGCATTTCATTTTTCCCCGAATGGGACGGGAAATGCGCTCGGATGCTTTTTTTTTTTGTCCGCATGGGATGGGACGGCAAAGGCGGTCAGAGAGATGCATTCATCTTCGCCCCTATCAGAGAGGAAATCCGGTCAGATGCAGTCATTTTGCCCGCACGGGTTGGGAAAGTACGGCCAGGTGCATTTGTTAACGATACGTTCCCTCGTAAGAATATGCGCCGTTTCTGCTACCTGCAAAAACACCTACGAAATCGAAGGACAATGAACATAGCCTTTTTCTCGTCCACATCCTGCCACGTGCCGTGTCGGGATTTTGCATCTTGGCTGCCCAATCACCAAAAAAAGTTGACAAACTTCCCGATGCAATTATCGCGCTTCAGGACATACTCGTACCAGGACTTTCCTCGATGTATCTGGACTCTTCTGCTGCCACCGATACATGCACCTGACCGCGATTACGTCCACATGCAATATGGAAGTCCTAATGTGAATATGCCTTCAGACAAGCCCGCCAATCGCGTGGCGTTACGATGAGCCCAGTAATAATTATATTATTATAGTTAGTATAATTAGTAATTATAATCATTACCTCGGTTTTAGTCATACCTGATAAAACCATATCCCCTCATTAAACGCGGTTTTATAAATTACCTCGGGGCGTTTTCATAATCCCCTCGATTAAAGATATTATTACTACAGTAAATTCTGTAAACCCATTCCACCTCGTTAACGCGGTTCAGGCGAGTGAATAAAATAATAATAACAGAATAATACTAGTAAGAAAGACGAGAAGATAGCAGCTAATGTAGTCATCATCATAACATAGTAATACTAAGTTCAAAAAAAAAAAAAAAAAAAAAAACTAGGATAATAACCACCGTTCGGACGGACGCCCATGGTATGAAATCGAAGAAGGACAACATGAAGAAGAAGCCAAGAACAGAGGATGTAGAGTATTGTCGGAATTACTAAAATAGCAAGATCCGCCGCGGGAGGAGAAAACAATCAGGATATACTCACACTACGACTTTTTGACTCAAATACGGACGCAGTTGCGGTGAGACACATCCAGTTCCGGCCGTAAAAGGCGTCACTAAGATGGAGCTAGTGTCAGTACGTCCTCACTCAAATAAAAACAGCTTCGCTGGTTGAGCCAACAAACAGTAAGGACAGCCATTTCGGCCAGGTCATCAGTTTTCCATCTTGGGCGCACCTTAGGTCAAGAACAGCGGAACACAACCACTTAATTAGGCAAGCTGATGAACGAAAAAAGAACCATCTCAATCAGAGGACGCGGTAGCGAGAGACTTACATTTGATTTGACAAACGGGTAGGAGCGGAAGTGGAGGGGGGG